GAAGAGACTCGAAGCAACAGAGATGTGGTTCTACAAAAGGATGCTAAGGATATCATGGACTGAGCATGTGAGCAACGATAAGGTCTTAGGTTATAAACAAGGAGAAGACTTATACTTAACATCAGAAAGAGGCATCTGAAGTTTCTGGGACACATAATGAAGGAGGGCCTGGAGAATCTGATAGTCATAGGTCAAATAGAAGGAAAGAGGGACAAAGGAAAGCAGTGTGTGACATACCTGATGAGCTTGAGCAGACAGATGACAGAACGTGGTCTGGGGGAGGAAGCAGATGGAAGGAACTTGCTGAGAGCAGCAAGAGATAGAGGGAAGTGGAGAGCCATGATCGCCTATAATCCTGAAAGGACATTGCACATAAAAAGAAAGAATTTAAGAACTATTGAATAAAGGAAAAGATTAGCTGTAGTTAACAGAAAGCTTTTTGAAATGTATGTATCCAATAGAAAACCGAAGACTTATTGCAATAAAGGCTGTAAGTAAGCAAGAAGGTGAATTATATGTATTATTTTTCCAGGCAATTCCTGGTGGTAAAGATGGGATGAAAAGGAGTTCTCAAGGCAAAATAGTAAATGGTTTAAAATACATGCATTTATGGACAACATTAAATCAGTGTAAAAAAAATTCTAAAGGGAATTTTCATGGAGAGGCTCATTTAGATAGGGTGGGGCTAAATTCTGGAATGTTTTGTGAGTCTGTAATAAAAAGAGGTAGCAAGGGAGAAATTAGTCAACATTGTTAAAATGTAGTTAGAGAAGAATATTCATTTCTAAATGACACTGCCAGTAATCTTTGTAATGCTTAATGCATCTGTTTAAAATATTTAAAGTAAACTAGAATATTTAAATCTGGTATAAACTCCTTTATAGATTTGATAAGGAGTATTTCTTTTTCAGCTGTTTTTTTCAACAGTTCATTTAAATAAACTATGCCATATGGCTTCAGTATGTTTCTATTTTTCATTCTGATAAACTCTAGTCTATACCCTCTTTCGTTGTCTACTGCAGATAGACATTTGCAAAGATAAAAAAACCTTTAATTATTGTTAATGACTAGTTCTCCTCTAATACAGTAGTGTTTTAAATACAAAAAAGAAAATAAGGCTAATATCACTTAACAATATTTATGTATTTTATCATTTTGCAAAAAAAAAAAGGTCAATGAGAAAACTGACTACTAATAAATGATTATAAAATATTTACACTGAGCAATGGCTACAGTTGCTTATTATGTTTCATGAAGTGGTTTCTTTGGCAAGATTAATGCTTAACATTAGAACGCTCCATAAAGGGAACTCAATGTAGTTTAAGCTCTCATGGTTTTAAATAAATCCAAATCCAAACATTTCCCTTTTATGCATCAGAGCTTATATTAGGTAGATCCTGCCCTAAAATTATGATAGATTATAAACAAAGAAGACTAATCAATTAAATCAATGATTTGTATCTTATACTCTGTCCAATCACTGGCATGCAGCCATCATATATAAAACCTGTCATCTTTTTTACTGCTGCTACTACAATAATGCCAACTTCAGCCTCTGTTCTGTTACATTTTGTTTTTGTTGTCACGCTCTCAAGACTTTAGCCTCAAAGACTATTACATTCTGAGTTTGATGGCAGACATTGTTGCTGTTCCATTGAAAAAAAAAAAAGACTGATACTTTGATAAAATTTGAGCCAAGAAGTAAAATATCTACACATGGGGTAAGTTTCTTGCATCCAATAAGATCACAATCTGTTAATTATTTACTTCCTTTTCACTCAATGAGGCTTTGTATTTTATAAAGTCTTATAAAAGAGGAAGAGAGGGAGAGAGAGTAGATCATAAAAACAAAGTATTTACAATGAAAATAAAAGTGAAAAGTTTTAAATCTTATTGAAAACTATACAAAATAATACACATTATTTTGTGTTATATCACGTTCACTTCTTTTTCATATTACTTTTGGTACTTGTCACTTTGCTGATAGTAAGATGATCGAATTTCAAATCTAAATGATTTGTTGTTTTAAAATACTACATTTATTAGTCATTTTTATGATTCCTTCTAAGGACCACACATTTCAGCTTATACTCTTTTCCTGTTACCCAGGAGTTGTTGTCAGACAGAAAGGGTAATTAAACATCTAATTAAAGGGTAAATAGATATTTTACAGACATAGATATTTCAATTTTATTCAAATTGTGTATGCATGTACATTTTCATGTGTGCGTGTATATTTTAATTCAACTACACACCTACAAATATTTCAGTAATTTGTTTAATTTTTTTTTAAAAAGCTTTACAAAGTAATTCTATTTATTGTCAAATAATTTCCAAAAGTTCAATAAAATCTTATAATAATCTGATCTTCTATTTTTTTTTTTTTGTCTTTAACTGATTTTATTGCTCAACCCAGGGTAGGGATTGTCCAGACTAAGTAGGAAGGGAATGTATTATTTCAATGTCTTCTTTGAGACTCGATTAAATTGTGTGTTTGTTTGCACATTAAATGGCATAAACTTACGCACAACACAGCCATATGCATATACATTATATATGCACAAGGGCACCTCGACGTGGTGTAATGGTTAACAAGCTTGTCTTGCTGGATCAGTTACTACTGAAAAGTGAGTTCGATCCTCACTGGATGCCCCATACTTTCGGCCTTGTGCCACATCTAAGCTACGCTTGGAAAATCTCTACATTATATATGCACATACAAAACCGCACACAGACTATGTGATGAACAGCCAATCAGCTCTTCTTTTATAATAATTTGCACCTTTTCTGAAATCTTGGTTATTTAATGATAGAAATATTATTGTTGTTATTGCTAGACAACATTATGCCACTTGATATTAGGATAAATGTGCAATTAATTTCAACTTTTATCCAGTTCGCCAATATCAAGTAAAAGCCAAATTTATTCACTGTAGAGAAAGGCAACTTAATGAATCATGATCTCTCTCATAATATTTTTAATAATAATTATAAAAATCAATAACACCCATCAAAATATGTTAGATTTCTAGAACTTAATGTTATTTCAAAGCAAGCAGAATTTTTATCAAGAAATTATTCAATAGAGGACTTGAACAAAAATAGTCAATAAATTAATTGATATATCTCCCAACTGACTTCAAAGTTTCATGTACATTTTGCTCACCAGAATCAGATAGTCAGATAAATCTGTTGAATTACTACCAGGTAGAATATTTGCACGCTATATTAAAAAAAAAAAAGTATTAATCATAAACTCTAAGCAAATTTCAAATTCAGAAGCAGTATAATATTACTATATTAAAGTTAAAATGTTTTGTGTGTGTGTGTGTGTGTGTGTGTGTGTGTATGTATGCGTATATATATATATATATATATATATATATATATATATATATACACACACACATAATTTTCCAGTTATAACATATTTTTGTAAAAAATCTTAGAAAATAAACTCGTAAATGTCACCAAATATCATGTCTTGTTGTGGAGTTTTCATGGCTTTAAAATCCAATATTTTATAAAAATTTACAAATTTAAATAGTAGTGGAATTTTTTTTTTTTCTTAAATCTGAGAGATGAAACATTTGTGTAAACATAAAAATTTGCAGTTGTTAAAGACAGGATAGTTATATATCTGTCATTTGTATATATTTGTCTTTTGTATAAGATTTTCTTGGCCTACATTTCTTTTCTTTTCACAATTTGTGTTTTTTCCTTTAATTTACCTTTGTATCCATTTCTTGTCCTTCTTTTCTCTCTCTGTAGACACTTGTACATAATAAATGGCCTATGATGATATGACATGTTTAAAAAGAATTCACATTTATATGAAGACAAAATAATAAACACTTGTAAAAACATAGGTGCCTATAAAAATCAATGCTTGAAACTAAGTTCTGGCACTAGTAGAAAATACATGACTATTTCTGACAACAGTTTTCATAAAGTATATTTCATAATAAAATCAACATTTTTTTATTTTTTTTATTTATTTATTTATTTTTTTTAGAGCTATATTTTTGTGCTTAAAGAGGTGGATGTGTACTACTATTGATGGAATGAAATCTGTAAGTGAACATTTCACTCAAAAAGAAACCTGCATATTACTTTAGGCAGAATCCAGTTGTATTGACAACCATACATAGTCTTTTTAGATTTTATTGATGTTTTTGATCGATGTTGTATGGAAGCATAAACATTTACCCCTTTTGTAGCATTTCATGGAAACAACTGATTAGTGAAAACAAATAGCTCACACTTACTGCATTCAGTTAAGCTTCAGTTTTAGAAAAAGATGGATTTGGCAGGTATCCAGGAAATACTTTGATCACAATTCCAATAAGAATTTTGGAACCATTATGAAGAGCATATTGAAAATATCCTCTTGGACAACAGCAAAAACCTCCTTCATTGGGTTCAATTTTGTGAAGATAATTCATGGGAAATCAGTTAAAAAAATATTGATAGTGCATATACTTGCAAAAATATGTAGTTTATGAAACATTTTTTATCCATATGAATCTTGTAAAATTATGCCTACCTGTGCAGTATTAATATATAGTTTTGAGACAAGTATTATCAATATGATTCTTGTGAAACTATGCCTACTTGTGTATTATTAAATGTTAGAGTTGGGGTCACCTGAACAAAGTATTTCTTTAATTCCTTCTACCATTAAAGCACTTAAAGACTTAAATTAGATCAAACAATGGGAATGAAACTTATATTGACACATTTAATTTACATTTGTCCAATTTGAAATTCTTCTCTTGTTAGAATTTGATAAGTTCAGAGAGGCATAATTACCATTGGAAAGCTTCACATACAAGAGTTGGTGTATAAAAGAAATAAATATAAAAAAAAAACAGAATTTATATATATCTTGTAAACAAAAATGAATTAATTTTTTTCTGTTTTCTTCCAATGCTTAGGGATTACAGACATAATCTGAATATATTTTCCTTTTCTGTTTTGTAGTTGACTATCAAGAAATCATGAGACCTGGGAGTGGAATAACATGCCGACCAAAAGACAGGTCGGCACAACGCCAAAGCATTGCATTTCTGGAGAAATGTGCCAAAGAAAAAGAAAAACTTCAAGAGCGTCTCACTGAAGAACTCAAGACAGATATTTTAAGGTAATACATTAATTATATTTTAAAACATCATTTTCTTATTCTGGGTTTTATCCAGCTAAATGTAATAGTTAACAATTTGGTGAATGCGCCTGATGTATTGAATTCACATAAATTTACCTACATGAGGATGAGAGGGAGATTTGCTGTTGTTTGTCCCTGGCCATAAAAGACTGGACATCTTTACCTTTGTTTTGTCTATCATCAAATAGTTTAATTTTTTTTTAAATCTTTTTAATTAAATAAATGAGAATATATTAACTTCAGTTTCTTTACTTATTAATATTTATTCATCACTTATTCATTATACTCCTTCAGATTTTTAGTCTTTTGTCAGATTTAAGAAAATGGGTTAACCTTTAAACTTTTCAGCATTGCTTTGTATATTCATGTGGCACAAGTATGTACATGCATATACATATATTTGCATGCATATTAGTTCTTGTCCAATCACCAAAGTTAAGCAATATTGTGCTTGGTCAGTATCTAGATGGATGACCACTAAGGAATGTGAGGTGCTGTAAGCTTAGATGTATGGGTGGTATAATGGATAACAGCTTGGAATAAGAAATTGGAGAACCAAGTTTGAATTCCTGTTGAGTTTTTGTTATATTCACTTATGCACAAATACCCTTGGGAAAGGCATAAATGCATCTCTTCTTCTCTCAGCTTTTTCTGGTCTCTGTACACTTCAATCAACCTGGTCATAGCATTGATGATGTTGGGTGTGTGCTATTAGCATCTAGGTTTGATAACTGGGAAGATAGATGCAAATCAAAGTATATACTAAAAGTAAATTCCCACATAGAAGGACTAAACAGGGATTTGGGTTTATTTAGAGTGCACAATTTCCACAAGGAAACTCATTATCAGCAACACCACTCCTCAGATGAGTAAGCCCTCCACCCACATTTTAACTCTAAATTTTAACAGCCATCACCTATCTACTATATTTTTATTGTTGTACCACCTATGATTTCCTTCATGACACACTATTCAGTAATGGAAGTATTGCCCTGTACAATGAGGGCTACTTTCCAGTCACTCTTTTTTATATGATCATTGATTCTCTCACTATGGCTCCTTTACAATATAAGCTTATGTAAGGAGTGGGGAAGATTAGTGTAGATACATATTAATCTTGTATATGTATTTATACCTTTACATGTATTGAGATTCATATGTTTGTGTGGTGGCTTGTTTATATTTACACACTGTTATGTGCACTTGTACACATGTGCATCTATATATGTATACGCATTTCCTCTTGTTTTTTCCTTCAATTTTTATTTTATTTTCTGCACCTCCTTCTTTTGTTAATAGATTTCTAAATTTTTATACATTTTTTTGTTTCTTCAATTTTTCTTTTCATTTCATTTTATTTAATAATATTTTATTATTATATATTCCATTTTTTCCTCCTCATTTTTTTTCATCACATCATATTCTAACCACAGCCCATCTTTCTACACTTGAAAACTTGATCTGACAATTTTTGCTACAACTTGCTACATGCAAGGTGTCTTTCCCCCTCCCCAACCTATTCTCTCTATGTTTACAATCTCATTTCCCCCACAACACACACCAGTAATAATAGACCTGCCTAACGCTTTTACACTGATCAAAATTTTTAATTTAAGTTTATTTTCATAAAAAGTTTTGCACATTTAATTCCTGACAACTCACGAATAGCAAATTATTTAATTCCCAACATCTCATGAATAGCAGTTTCAATGTTAAGATTAGGGAATGAATCGTAGCATATTTTGTAGTTTACTCCTGTTTTGTAATCTCCACATATACTTAACTCTCCATCTGGTTTTCATAAAACAACAATTACTACCACCAGAAGGAACATGCTCTAAAATTCCTTGCTCCACCATTGTTTTTAGTTTAGCAATTACTAAAGGTAGCATGAAGGACACTGGGTTGTCCGGAAATTCCGAACTTAAAAAACTTTCTCTCCATGCTTCATATGGTTAATAATTAATATTTAATAAATGTTTATCGTACTGATTATATTGGTATCCTTTTTTTTGTCCTTGTTTTATTAACTAACCTATATATATATATATATATATATATATATATATATATACACACACACATACAGGGTACAATTGTTATCTAAATTATTCAAAAATGAAAATAACACTGACATCTCATTTTAACAGATATATTACCAAAATTACACAAAAATATCTTGAAATACTAAAGATTAAATTTATTCAATAAAATTGCCATTGCCCTCAGTCACAGCCTCCAGATAACTTCGGAATCTCCTGCAAATCTTTACAACACTCTCCTTGATTAAGTTGGTGAATGCTACCATAATCCTTGCCTTCAGTTCTTCTTTGGTATTACAAGGAGTTTTGTTGATTCCTCACTCAACTGTTACCCACACATAATAATCAAAGGGGTTGCAGTCTGGTGAATTAGGCAGCTAGATGTAAGGGGTGATGTGGCCGCAGAAATTGTTTGACAGCCACGTCTGGGTTCTCCTGCTTGTGTGGCATGGTGCAGAGTCCTGTTGCCAAACATAAGATCTTCCAGCAGCCACCCTCTTGACTCAGGGCAGCACTACTTCCTCATGGCACTTGATGTAGGCCTCTGTGTTGAGCCTGAGGCACTGCTGGAAGATGAATGGAGGCATAACATCACCATCACAAGTGATCACTTTGAACACCATGATGTTGACTGGATATATCATGTAACCCTTTTCGAATCCTTTGTACTAAAGATTAAATTCTTTCAGCAATAATTGTTAATAAATCAGCTGTTGACTTAGAGAAGCAAAAGCCATATTGCTTATCTGTGAGATGAGATGCTTAACCAATTCAGAGTTGATTAGAGCCTCTAGTAAGATGCAGAAAACTAATAGGCTGGTAGTTAGAAGGATCAGATGGTTCACCTAAGGTCTTAAAAACAGGGACTACAGAAGAAGATTTCCAACAAGTAGGAAAGCAAGAAGCAGCAAGGCATTTATTGTAGAGTTTAGAGATAACAGGAGACAGTTCAGGAGCACATTTCTTAAGGACTATATCAGGGTTACCATCAAGATCACATATTTTGTAGGGATCCAATTTAGATATAATAGCAAAAACTATGGATGGAGTTATATGTATATCACTCAACAGAGACTCAGTTCTAAATGGAAAGTCAGGCAAAGATACTCCAGATGAGTCAAAAGTAGAATTTGAAGAAAATTTATGAGCAAAACATTATGCTTTATCAGCAGAAGTTAACAACTTAAATTGAGTGAAGAAAGAATAGATAGAAAACTTAGTCTTATTTAACACACTATTATAAGGCTGCCAGTAGTCACAAGAACCAAATTTGTTAAGGGCTATATGGTGCTTCATTCTATCAGCAAACAAAGACTTAGTCTCTTTAAGGATACATTTAACACACTATTACCTGGTAGTAGTCATGAGAGCCATATTTGTTAGGGATTATATGGTGCCTCATTCTGTCAGCAAATAAAGACTTAGCCTCTTAAAGGATACATTTATAATTATTGCAAGTAGACACAAACAGTTATCTGTTGCAATCAGAACTCTCATTCTGGTACAGTCAGGAAAGTGATTCCCGTGGGCTATAGCAGCTGATTAAGCAGGTGTGAACCAAAGAGAAGATTGTGATTTTACCTGGTATTTCCAAGAAGGTACAAAAAGCATTGATGCTAGCTTTAACCCAAGGAGAAACCTTTGTGACACAATTCTCAATAGGAAGATTAAGAATATCAATCCAAGGGCCATCTCAAAGAAAGTCATGAATGAATCCCAATTGGTACACTGAAAATAGAAAAAAGTCTTGAGAATATGAGGTTCCTTTCTAATGGATGACTCCAAATAAATATCGACAGATACTACAGCATGATTTGACTTCTCAAGGGGACAGGAAAGGAAGAAAAAAATCTAGTAAAAAAGCTTATTGGTAAGAATTATTTGGAAAATTCAGTTTGATTGAGCAATGGAAAAATTTAAGGTCTGAATGCTGGCAACATCAGTAACGTTAGAATGCTAAAGCCACTAGACGTGATGAGCATTAAAATCACTAAACACAAAAATGTTTGCAGATGAATATAGAAAGAGAGCCATTTCTGTATTGTCAGATATTTTGTTTAATAGGTTACAGTCCTGATATAAAGGAAAAAGAAATGACTAACAGTACAATAAAGAAAGTCAAAAGCACATGAAAGTATCATCTGGGGACTCAAGAGATAATTCCCTTGCCATTGGAAAATTTTCCTGGATGTAAACACCAATGCCATGTATATATATCCCAGAAAGAGATAGCCTGGAACAGAGGATTCATTGGTAGAAAAATTTAAATTAGTCTTACATAGTGCTAAGATATCTGGAAAACATTTCAAGAGAAAAGATTCTACATTACAGAAATTGGAATGAATACCGCAAATATTGGAAAAAGAAAGGTTGAGTCGGGTAGATGATATTTTCTTTACTGGTTTACTCATATTTCTTTTCACCCTATCTGTCATAGGAAGTTTGTTTTAAAGATAAAAAGTCCAAAATAATTATCACTATCATCTGTGGCAATATAAACTGATCAGAAGATGGCTAAGACTAAAGCATAATGTCGGTTCAGAGTTGCCTTCTGAAAATACATGCAAAGATACATGCACGACATTGCACTGCAAGCACCTTGATATTGTGCAACTCTTGATCAGAGCTACCTAAGTGCTGTCAAAGTGTATGGGCTCTTTTACTACCAGTTAGATGCCAAACCAGTACCCTCATAATGAAAAGTCACAGCCATTGATCAATTGTAAATTCTCAAGAACAAAAAAAAAAGTATAAATTCACTTTCATCATATGTTTAGGTTTATTCTATTTATTGCTTTTTAAAATGATAAACATTGTTGAGGAGTAAAGTTAGTTAAAATAATAGCAGTGTCAAAGGGAAAACCATCCTTTTGACACTTTTTTTTTTGGTGAGTACAAAGTTACAAGTTTGCCAAAACTTATTAAAGGCTGAATTTA